TAGATAGATAGATAGATAGATAGATAGATAGATAGATAGATAGATAGTATACTGTCATTTAAAAGGGAGAACATGTGTTGAAGGACATCTCAAAGCTCTTCCAGGATGTCGGCTGCCTTTTGTTCCATTCTCAGATCCTCTTCTTCTGCTGTAGATAGTTTTTTAGGCCCAGCACTTCTTCTTTTGTCCTCCAGTTTCTTCTGGAGAGATGCCAAATTTCAGCTAATATCTCTTCAGCTAAATGCTGCGTTGAAAAATCTGGTTCTCTGTCTGTCTAACTGTGTTATCTTTGGCATTTTTCACACATCAACTAAAGAAATGGGAACAAATTATGTTTCTTTGTGACAGGCTGCTGGTAACAAAGAGCTTAAAGATCCAATTTAAACTGCTTCTTTGCTAACTTGTCTGTTCTATGTGGACGCAGCACTGGCTCACCCCTTGAGTTAGGGGCCTTTTTTCTGCCTGAATGATTCATAGCGCAGAGTTAGGTGGATTAACAAAGAAAAAAGACAATCCTCAAGGACTGGACGTAAAAAAAAAAGATAAACAAATATTAAGGGAAAGCATCAGGAAGCCTAAAAAGACAATAATGAATTCACCTGTTCTCAATTCAGCATCGAAGGAAAGTGACAGACAAACAGTTTAAAAATTAGCTATATGATGTGTGCAAAGGTTGTGTGTGTTTAGTTTTAATTAACTTGGTTACGCTGAATCGACAATAAGATAGTATTTTTTTTGCCCTGTAAGTTTAAGTCATATTTGGAACAATATTAAATTAGCGGTCCTTGCACCATCTTTACCCACATTTTCCTCCAGATAGATATGTTAAATGTGAAACTCTGTTCAATTTTTGTCTTTTATTAAATGCAAAATCCACATTGAGATTATTTGATGTATCGATAAATGATTCATTATAGATCCCAAAGCATTTGTGGTATTAACTTTGACACAGGATGGTGTTTGTGGCTGAGATTTGGTCGTGTCTGAGCGTTGGGCAGCAGTTAAAGCTTCATTGTCTGAGTCCCTACTTAAGATGATTATACTTTTTATCAAACTATTCAATTTTTTTTAATGAAGAGGTATATTATAAAGCTTCAGAGGAGAGAGAGCTCAGAATCTGGCGGACGAGCCGGAGCGTGATGGAGGCTTCAGGCTGAGACGGAGGGTGTGGCTGCCCTCAGCTCCCTCTCCTCGTAAACATCACTGGAAGTAGGCCCCTGCTGGAAGGGGCTCCCCGCTGCTTTAGGTTTACAGCTGACGGGATTAATGAGAGGACCCAGGGGGTCAGGAGGCTCCTCACCAACGCTCGCTAAAAGAAAGAATTGGAAAAGCAAAAATCTGTGCAAAATCCCAGATTGCTCGAGAGACAAGCTGGGCGTGTTTTTTATTGTTTATCAGTGTGAATCTGTGTTTGAACAGAGGAGAAAAGCTGTTGTTTTCTGGACATCAGGAAGGAGGATCATTAATGGCTCTTTGAGGAGCTTAATGACTCTCAGGCACAATCAAGCTATCTGATTTATGAGGAACCATCACATTGATAAAGAATTTACATTTTTCTCTAACACCCACAGCTAATTATCAGCTAGCTGCAGGGCTAGTTGTGTGCTGCTAGCTCTGCAGCCATGGATGCTAGCAGCTGCTCGGAGATGAGGTGTCCTCATATTTTCCCCTTGTTTCGTGTTTTATGTAGTAACACTGCCTTTTAAATACAAAGTCTCACATCTAAAGCAACCAGGAGTGGCTCATTTAAAATACTCTGAGGAATAAATGAGTGTCAGGACTAAACTTTCTGAAACCGTGGGTCAAAGTTGCCCAATTTAATCCTCAGGAGACACAATCCTCATTGTTTCGAGGCCTCATTCTGAAATGAATCATAAGCCCTCTGAAGAGCTTAAAGAAGAAGAAGCTGAACCATTTATTTGATTCAGGTTTGCTGGAGTGGGAAAAAATTATGCTTGGCAGATTCAAAATAGGAAACCCCAGCAGATATGACCCTTGTATTGGAGCAAATAATGTTTTCTCAAGGACATTATGGCAGCAAAAATTAGATTCAAATGCTATTTACTATTTAAAGAAATATAATCTTACAGGTAATAGGAAAAATCTTCTTTGCCTTAAAAACCTTGTTTTAAATAAAGTCACTTTACACAAACCACTGTTCATTTTGAATAGTTGCACATGTCTTACTTGATTCTTAGAGACTTTACAAAAGCATATGGCACTCATTCTGTTGAATAACCCCACTATACTGTCCTGTATGGGGTATTTTCTACCTTGAGGAGTATCTGAGAAAACAAGCTGACCTCTGGTCTCTTTGGTTACAGCACTACTTTAACTCCATCAGTGACTCAGTCAGCATCAGGGACAGAAAGTTCATCTTCACTGAGCTGGAAAAAGGCCGTCGGGAGGCAGAGCTGAAACCTTACGTAAGGGAGAGTTTTGGTAACAGCAAGCCTGAATGCACCCAAACATGTGTGAACGGGCTGAGAGGGTCGGTGCAGCATCGCCGCAGTGTGTGTTCTGACCTTCCTCTGTCATTCTGCATTGTGACGCTACACTTTGCTGCCTCTGAGCTGCGAGTTTGTGTTCTTATCCAACTAGAGAGGAGTGATTTATGCTTCACAATGACTCATCTCCTGGTTATTGTTGTAGAAAACTACAAACTTTCCATTTGTGAAGCCCGTTACCAAATCACCTACTAATTCATGATCTAATGGGGAGATCTTCTGTTCTCTGTGACGTTGTATTGATTTGATAAGATTGTAGAACCTTGAGGTGACGCATTTTTTTGTTCGACAACTGAAACACAGATTATGGGATAGATAAGAGATGAGGAGTGTGTATGCTTGACTGCTCACTGACTCTGCAGACATCCCCCTCTCCAGTGGTTAATCACCACAGCCTCAAACAGCACAAACACAAAGAGGAGGCAGTGTGTATTGAATTTGAAGCCAGCTCTGTACCAGAGTGACACCGGCGTCATTCAATCGCTCATTTTCGATTTCCATCTGTTTCCATGCCGCCGTGTTTTGCTTTGCACCATCAGCCTCGGTGATTCAGCAGCTCGCCTCACATTTCACCCTGTTCTCAACAACAACGGAGCTGTTTGTTGCTGCTGACAGGAAGTGGCTGCTCATTGTGGGGGATGAAGTGAAAGCGTCTTCCATCGTTCATCCATCTGCTGGTCCTCCTGCTGCTCCTGCTGCTCCTGCTGGGCCTCCGGTGGGTTCCCTTCAGACACAATCAACCAGATAGACTGAAGCTTTTCAGCTTCACTTGGTTATAAAAGCAAGCAGCCTTAGATCCTTAGAAAGGTCAGCTGCTTTACACCCTAGAGACTACAGCTTTTTGACTACAAATGCAAAAGAGCAAAGAGATGCAAAGAAATAAATCAGAGATACTCACAAATCTGCATAATCTAAAATGTAACTGTTAATAATTACAATTTCTTCTTAACAATGATTTGATTGGTTTTGTTGTTCATAGCAGACTTTAAATCTTCCTTCTAGGTTATTCTGCCTGAGTTTGTTTACCATTTGTGCCTGTGTATTGTATTTGGGGATATGTGCGTCATAAATATGAAAGGAAGTTTACATTACAAAATGGCTGATTCACTACAGCGTGCGTGTGACAAACCTGTTCCTGTTTTACTTAGAATTGATTTTTCCTTTTTTTCTCATGGGATAGATTTACCTCGTGGTTTTAGTTTACATATGTATTTAGCCCCCTAACTGCCCTGGATCTGTTTTCCATCAGTATATAGTTTCAGGGTCCTTAGTTTTATTTGTTTTCCGGTCAGTTTTCACCTATGCAACCAACAAATAGTGGCTTGGCTGCACTCTCCGTCTCTGCTATACCACAAAGCTGCTAAAGGATTCAACACCTAGCCTTCAGGATGCTGAGGAAACGCTCTGAATAAATCAGTTAACTTGACAAAATCTCTTATATATTTCCCAATGAAATGGCACACTCTGTTTGAACATTTCTCAGAGATCAGAACCTCTGACATCTCAGCTTTCACGGAGTGCTTTGAGCTCTCTGTGAACATGAAAGCTGTGCTGTGTTGGGGGGATAAAAGCTGGATTTAGCTACTCAAACGAGTCGTGAATCACGTTGATCCAAATTTTAAATTGAATTTTTTAAAATATTTTTTTTGCCCGACGCTGAATTCTTAATCTTACTTAAAATATTTAAAGGTATGTTTGAACAAAGAGGGTGTCAATCAACTACTCCACCCCCACATCATCTTGTCATCTGTCTCTCCTCTTGAGACTGTCTGGTTACCAGAGCAACCGCATCCTCTTGGCAGGAAGAAGGAAAAACAGGAAGAGGAAGGGTAGGAAAATGGTGTCTTTATGATGTCTTTTAGTTTTTTGATTTTCCTTTTAAATTCTTCTGCTCCTGCTGTGGAGCCAGCAGAGCTGTTATGTTTGCTAAAGTTTTCAGGATAAATCTCAGTTATCTCAGGATGAATGTGGGCAGGATTTTGCCACCAGATCTCTTAATAGTTGTCTTGCTCGTCTCTTTTTCTTAACTATTTGTCCATTGTGATTTCTTTATTTACCTCCTGTCCCTCCCCTTCAGTTCTTCCCTCTCTGAGTATGCGCTGACTCAGGATCAGTGTTTTCCCTCCTGACCTGAAGTCCAGTCAGACGCCCGCTGGCTCTGGGCTCTGTGAGGCTTCCGTGGCTGCCAGCAGTGCTTTTGGCAGACTTTATCAGGCTTTCTTTCTTAGCTGTGTTTGCCCCTGCTCTGGGTTTTGTTTTCCTTTATTTTTTATTTGAATGAAAATGTCTAAGACCTTAAGTGCGACATTTTTCCGTCTTTCATGTCCTCGCGCTGTCCTCTCACATTAGGGTCGCGCATGTTGGATGGGCTGCCCTTCAAAGGGCTGGTAAAGGCTCGTTAAATCCGAGCCGTTCGGTCTCCCTGTGGAGGCTGCCCGTGTCTGTCCTCTACCCACGATGCTTTGCAGTGACTGCGGCTGTGTGAGTGTGTGTGTATGTGTGTGTGTGTCAGAGAGAGCAGAAAGAGCCATCACTCCATTTAAATGTGTCACCATGGTAATGGGGCAGGGATGTTGGCGTGTTGCTATGGCGATGGGGGGGACATCAATATATCTCAGGTCTTTGATGGAAACATTAAAGACACACACACACACACACTCCAGCTGAGGTCTGCAATCTCAGGGGAACTTCAAACGCAAAAAGAGACGTCTGTTCTTGTGATGGAACACATAGAGCACCTTCTATACGTATATATCTATCTATATTTGTGTATGTTTATTTGATACTGATGCTCTTCAAATGGGTTATAACCCAACTTTGAAAGACTGAAGTCTGCAGCTTTGTTAAGCAGAAAATGAGGTTTTAAGTTGTATTGTTACAGAGATGCGGGAATAAGACGGTAATTGTGTTCAGGGTCTGTGGGTTTTATGATGATGGTCTCAGTTTAAGCTGAGATTCTCTTAGTGAGTCAGACTGTAACTGTTAAATGCTCTTTTGTTTGTGTCAGCATTGTGCTGCTTTTGTCTCTCTGGGTCTGCATTCTGGATGAGCTTTAATATTTTTGAGAATTCCATCTTGGTTCTATCTTTTTTTCTTCCTCTTAAAGAAAAAGGCCCATTCTACATTGTTCACTTTAAGCTTTTTTCTCATTTTCCGTACAATCATTGTAGCTGAGCATTTTCAGAGGAATGTGATTTCTCTTTGTAAAGCCACTTAACTCTGACCTATAAATCCCTCAGGCAGAAGAAAAAGCCCCTTATTCAAGTGATGAGCCAGTATTGTATCTACACAAAACAGACTACTTAGCAAATCAGCAGTTTAAATCAGATCTTTAGGCTCTTTGTTACTAGCAGGTTGTCACAAAGACACATCCTACATCACACATCATCAGAAACTAGGATTTTAACAGGCAACAGCAAGCTGATTCCCAAAGAGCTATTAGCTGGAAACTTGGCTTATCTCACCATGGTGGGTTGACTGTACTTAGAACATTTGACGAAACTGAACGAGTGGAGGACATAAGAAGAAGTGTTGTGCCTATAAAGCTGAGCTGAGAGATGCATCTGGACCTTCAGCTGATCATCTCCTGTTGGCCCAAGCCTCATCAAAAATGCTCTCCATGAAGGGGGGCTGTCCAGAAGCCATGTGACACAAGAAGTGGACTGAAAATCTGTGGCAACAGGTCTGATGGAGGGATGAATCCTCCCCAGAGCCGGAGCTCCACATTATTGAAGCAGTGTGGATCATCTGACAGAGAACGGAACAAAAGGCAGCCCACATCCTGGAGAACTATTCCTGAAGACTCCTTAAGGAAGGACACAGAGCTGGTTGGAGAGGGTTCTGTGAGAAGGACAAACTTGCTTTTTTAAGTCAAACTAATCACTTGACTGCGGCATACATTTCAGCTGGGGAACATTAGAGCCCTTGGGGACGTTGTGGAGTCCAGACAATAGATGAACAATATCTGTGTGTGAATCACAGCATTGATTAGCAGCGGGTCATTTCAGGATGGAATTGATTCCTCTCAGCTGCTCGTCCGCTCAGTTTGAGGCAGATGATGAAGTTATTTTGACCAGCTGGTGAAATTGAGTTCCAGTACGTTCACTGGAATGAGTCCAATAAAAATAAATGACATGCCAGCACCCACACAGCACTTTTTTGAGAGGCATTAATTAGACCAGAAGTCCTTAACATAATAACATTATATATATAACATTATATGCATTTTCTCCTAAATCTCCTTCCATCATCTTCAGATGCCTCCTCTCTATTTAAGCTCCACTGGAGTCTCTCAGGCCCTGCCTCCTCTTTTTCATCCCGGGCACTTATCTGTGTTTTAAGTATATACGTTTTTTTCCATGTTTACGGTTTTGCTGCTTTTGGTTTTGGTTGCTTTAGTTCAAATTCACCTAATTATCTTAGGTTAATTGGAGACTGAAAGTTGCCGGTAGGCCTTTCCATAGTGTCCCATCTCTGGCCCAATGACAGCTGGGATAGGATGCCTCCAGCCCCCGCCCCCCATCCCCAATCCTGACACCCTCACCGGGCATCTGTGAACCTGCTTATTGTAGAATCAAACAGATTTATACCCTCCTCCTGTATCTTTGTGTGTGTCTTCCCGCAGGTGGCGCTGTAACATGTGAAGATGGCCAACGCCGTGGCTTCCTACGACCAGTTGGCCCATCAGGTGGAGGCTCTCCGGAAGGAGAACTCCCACCTGAGAAGGGAGCTGGAAGACAACTCCAACCACCTGTCAAAACTGGAGACGGAGACCTTTGGCATGAAGGTCAGTCTTCATCACCTCAGAGTCTTTTCCCAGTATGAGATTTGAGCCCTAAATGAGCAGCAGAATAGTTCTGTATGATCCTGTAATGGTTAATACTTCAGTATGTAGAATCCCTTTTGTCCAAATGGTATCTTTAACACTAAAACTATCAGAGGAAGAATGGAAGCTGTTGGTAAGACCAGCGATTTTAATTTTAAGGGATAGATTAACCGACCACTGCTAAAAAAAATACCAACCATTGCATTGTTTTTTTTAAATAATCTTTTCAGTAATCTTCAACCCTAAAATCATCAAAGGATCAAATCAGCTTTTCTGGGAGTAAAAATAGTGAATAAAAAGCTAAATCAGGCAAAAGCTGAAAGCCTGTGGCACGTAAATCCCTTCATCTGTTGGCACATAGACGCAAACGTGCACACTCACACACAGAGTCACGTGTCCAGATGCCGAGCAGCTGGATTATCTGGCTGAGCTCGGCTCGGCTTGGCTTCGGAATGAGGGCAGCGCAGCTTCTCATGCAGCTGCAGCTCAGCATCTGGGCAGGAGTCACCTGCAGCAGGTGAAAAACGGGGACGGCTTCTGATCCGCTGCTTCTCCCTTCACCTGAAAAAGGAACTAAACTTAACGTCCCCAGAGGCTAACCGGGGTTTCCCTCTTGGATGCAGGAGGTGCTGAAGCAGCTGCAGAGCAAACTGGAGCAGGAGGCAGGGACCCTGGCCTCGTCCGGGAGGAGCGATGTACTGCACCAGCTCAAAGGTCTGCTTCTGTTTTGCTGTTTCCTGTCCTAAAAGCCTTGTTAACTGCTCTTTCGTGGAGTATAGCAGCCTTTCCCACAGATCGCTAAGTGCACTCAAGGTTTTTTTATAATTTACTTTTTGTCTTTTTTTTTCAAAGAATAATCATTTATCTGATGTTGTCATGCCTCTGGAATGCAAAAACACCTGTCTGAATACATTTCTGTGCATCTGAGAGGTCAAACGACTCCTCTAACACTGAGGAGCCGCAGCATCCTCTGGGACCAATTAAACAAACAGGAGCCGATTCAATCAGCTAACCTGATTGGCTTTGGCAGGCGCAGCCTCATTAGGAGCCGGTTTATGTCAATTAGATTATCAGGAAAATAATGTAATGAACTAAAGCTGAGATTCAAAGCAGCGCCGGCATTCTTTTTGTCAAATTAGAGAGCAGAAAAATAGAATGTGTGCTTCCTGTTAGTTATGTTAATGAATAAAGATGACAGAAACCTGTGGTTACATTTTAATTAAAACATTGATTTGAACCCTTCTTAAATGCATCTGGAAGCTGTTGTTTTATCTTATCCATGCACCTGTGAAAAAAAGCCATTAGAGGGAAAGTCTGATTCAACTCAAAAGGAGGAAAGTGACAGTGAAGCTGGCAGAGAGGTCAGTCTGCACTCTGATGGTTTCTAACCATCTTTGTCCTTTGTCCTCAGAGCTCCACATGGACCTCACCAACTACTATGAACTCAAACACCAACCTCACAACCTGAGGCTGCTGGCAGGTGGCCTGGGAGGGGTCTCAGGGCCGGCGCCAGGTTTGGGGGCGGAGCTGGACGATCGGCTGGCTCTGCCTCCGTCCTCCTCGTCCTCTGTGAGCAGAGCCAGGAGCCCTCTCAGAGCGGCGTCCCGCCAGAGCATGGCGTCCGCTGGGGACACGGCCGCCTCCATCATGCTGCCCCATCACTTCCTGGACGGAGCCCCGCCCAAAACGGCTGTGATCAGCGGAGCAGATGGACGGCTGAGCGACTACCACCTGGAGGAGCTGTACAAGGAGAGGTGAGCACATTTACAGAGAAACAAATGAAAGCTCTAAAGCGGGGGTGTCAAACTCCAGCTGTGGAGGGCCACTGTCCTGCAGCTTCTAACAGAGGTGTAAACATGTGTAGGAACCTCCTGCTGGGGGAGATCGACCGGGAGGAGCGGGAGCGCTGCTGGTACTTCAGCCAGCTGGAGGCGCTGTCCCAGAAGCTGTCCCAGCTGCCCCGCATCGACACGGTGAGGCCTGACCACAGCACACTGCCTCAGCTGAAGGATTTGATTAGCAGACTAATCTCTGTTTACAGAGGAATGTTGAATGTCCTGTGATGTTCCACTTTGGTTTGTGTTCCAGAAATGATAAAAGATTATTAACACTATCTGTACTGTATAGGAAGAACCACCAGAAAATTGCTAAACTCTGTCTTAATAAATCTTTTGAAGCTCTTATCTAATTTAGACTATTTCATTTTCAAAACGCTGCAATTTTTTATTTGTTCTATTACAACTCTGAATTTTTAACCCTCCCAAAAATTCTGGTCATTTTGCCTGAATTACAACAGATGAAAAAGTCTTCAGGTGAAAATGTTATAAAGCAGCAAACCAAAGTTGGACTTTTTTCAGTTGAACACTATAAGTTTAACTAGATCCATATCCGTGTTTAGATTATTATTTGTTAGCTCTAAGCTGGAAGGTTTTTCAACTATGAGCTCCACAAAGCAAACCTCAGGGCCTCAGTGACAATCACCTCTGACCTCTGACCTCTGTTTGCTGCAGTTTTCTCTGCAGATGGATCTGATCAGGCAGCAGCTGGAGTTCGAGGTTCAGCAGGTTCGGTCTGTGATGGAGGAACGATTCGGCACCAGTGATGAGATGGTGCAGAGGACACAGGTGAGACCCGCAGCTGACTGGACACATTTCACACATTTCTGCAGCTGAGTCTTAACTGTGGTTTTCTCCATCTAACTGGCTGAAAATGACTCGGGTGCTTTGCACTCTGCTCTTTGTAAACCCTGACATAGACCTGTCTGTGAGAATACATCAACATACGAGCCTCTGATCCAAAATATAGTCCAAAGAATTTCTAATTCCTAAAATTCCTCCAAAATGAGGCCTAATTTCCTTGATATTACCTCAATCTACCATCCATTCCAAAAGGAATGAATGTAAACTTTAAGCTAATATTTTGGAAAAAAGTCCATCAGCACCAGAGTGAAAATAACTCACACTTCTTATTATTTTCCCTCTAGAATCAGCTCTAATTTTCAGTAAATTAGATCTATTATACCAGATATTACAGAAAAAAAGTGGAAATGTCTGTTAATGTGTTGGAAACAAATTCACAGAAGGAGAAACTAACACATTTGGGAATAATTTAATACTTTTTACTTCATAATGAATCAAACAGAGCTGAGAGGACAGAAAGCGGACAAGGAAAAGTTTGATGACAAGCTTTCTGATGACAGAAACTAGTTTTTGTTGTAAAACCACATTTGTTTTGCAGATGCGGGTCGCTCGCCTGGAACAGCTTGAAAAAGAGCTGCATGAGGCCCGAGGGAGTCAGGAGAGCCAGCTACAGGTCAGACATACCTCCAGCTGTGGATTTACTAAATAATGTGTGAGGTGTTAGGACACTGGAACAGCTCTGTAAACGCACACAGAGGACTGGCGTGAAGAAAACAGGCGCTGTGATCAGTTGGTTTGGGTCAAAAAATGAATGAGCTGCTGCTTCTCTGGTGATTTTGAAGTTCCATATGTAGGAAACAGCCTGTGTTAGTTAGCAAAGAGAAGGACCAAGTCAGGAAGTAGAGAGGAACTCCACTTAAATCAGTTATTTTTTTAGGAAAGCCTAAACCCGAGGTGGAGAAGAGTTCATTTGCATTGAGACCGTTCCACCTTAATAAGTTTAATGGCGAAACGGCGAGTCAGACTTCCTCTGTAAGACAACATCTGCTGGGATGTCCAGATGTTCCTCTGAAACGCTCTCAGTTCAGCAGCCGCTCCCAGCCCAGCTCCACCTGGCAGAGCGACACCCAGCCGTCGTAGGCCCACACCCAGAAACACGGGTACAGCGGCTGGGTGAAGCTGGAGCGGAAGGTGTGCAGGTGGACCATTTGGTCCTCCGACACGCAGTAGAAGGACAGACACCCGGCGGGCCAGTCCAGGTAGATGCCCACCCTGTTGGAGAAGGGTTGGGGCGAGGAGGAGCTGAGCCGCCTCCTGTTGTGGCACGGCGTGTACGCCCCCTCGGAGCACTCCAGGCTCCAGGACTGCGGGTTCTGTCCCAGCAGGCAGCGGTCTGCGTCCCCGTCTCTGGAGATGCTGTTGTAGGTGACGCCCACGTCGGCGCCGCCCTTCCACGTCACCTCCCAGTACACGCTGTCCAGCAGCCCCTCCCTGCACAGAACCTGCGGGCAGCGCTGGAAGCGCTCCGGGTGCTCGGACGTCTGAACGTCCAGCCAGGAGCGAGTGGCCCTCCTGTTGCCCTCAGTCAGGTAGAGCTCTGAGCTGGCCGTGTTGGGGTCAAGGGTCAGGTAGGAGGCGACTGCCAGAACAAAGAGAAACATTTAAAGGAAGACTAATCACAGTAATACTTCGATACGTTTTATCATCTGAAGCTGTGTAAAATACTGTAATCTTACAGTTTTTCAGTGACCACGGGTCCTCTGCCGACTGATTCCTGAAACACATCCAAACATTGAAAAGGTTCTGATGTAAAATTGAGCTTTCTATGTCGATCTGACGTCAGACTTTGTGAGTAATTAATTCCACTCACTTGAGACTGTCCTTCAGACTCCATGAAGTTTCCCCAGAGGACAGAGGAGTCTCTGTGGCTTCATCTTCCTCTTCCTCTCTCCACGCCACGGGAAAGTCGTCACTCCAGAGTTCAGGCCCACATTTCGAATTAGCAGCAGACAAAATGGCTTCGAAGCCATGAGATCCTTTCAATGACAATGACGTACATCTTAAGAAAGCCCAAAGCAAAAGGCTAATATTTGATCTATGAAATTGTCACTATGGATTTCAGGGGCTGGAAACACTAATAAAGGAATATGAAATCTTCAGGGTTGAGTCAAAACTTACAGGACAGCGCTGTGTCTAGAACTTGGCCTCCATCTGAAAGCTGGTGGAGATGTTGCAAATCTGACCCCTGCATTTGATTTCCAAGGCGATTCTGCTCATCTTTGATATGCTACATGACCACCTTCCCATAGGAAAATATATCCAATATGGCAGCTTTGAAGTTGGAGGCCATGTTCCAGACATAGCTTGGAAAAAAGCCCCTCTCAGCGATAGACGCTGGGGTATTCAGAGATGTCATTTTCCATTTTTTTTCTGTTTTTGTTTTGACTCAACCTGCATTTCATGGTCTGGTGGTGTCATGTTCAGGTAACTGGTGATAAATCAGGAAGGACTTTTTTTCCGTACAGTACCTGTATTTGATCCAAATATCTCCAGGTTTTGTTGTTTTCGGGGGGAACTCGTGCATTCAGCTTCCTCCACAGACTCCTTTCCATTCAGCTCCCTGCTCTCTAATTCATTCCCCCTGCCCTCCGTCTGCCTGCTTTGTTTGGTGGCAGTATCCTCTGCTTTCTCGCTTTTCTTGTCCTCCTTCTTGTTTTTTGATTTTTGGGTCGTCTCTAAAATGTTTCGGTCACCTCTGAAGAGGCTCTTCAAATGATCCCCAACCCTCTCAGTGTTTGGGGGTGTTACAGTAAAGGCGGTGGAGGATTCCTCCTTATTCTCTCTTTCCTTTGAAAGACCGATTTTGAAAACACTGGAGAAGTCCTCTTTGAAGTGGTTGAAGTCCTCTTTCAGAAGAGCCAGAGGGTTGACCCGCTTCTCTGCTGACTGAGTGGCTCTCTGGTTTGTGTCCTTGTCCTTAAACACTTTCATCATGTCCTCTTTAAACTGGCTAAAGTCTTCTTTGATCAGAGTAAATGGGTTGATGGTCCGTTTTTCTGCCCGCCTCGTCTTTAGGAACTCATCCTCCTGCATTTCAGGCTCCTTGCTACTGTCTTCTGTGAGACTCATTTTTAGCCGCTTTCATTTGTTGAAACGCCACTTCTTTTTCTCAGATGTGTTACTTAAAAGCTCTACTTCATTTCCACAGAGATTGAAGCCGGAAGCTACCTGTACAGTCAGAAATATGTTGAGTTACAGAAGGGATCTTTTTCATACGAGAAAGGATCAAATGGAAAAAGCAAAGCAATTTCTTAAAATTTTGTGTGAAATGTGTATATCACATATTATGACCCTAAAACACTTCTGAAGCATATTTCCAGTGAATGATATTTGAAGCTGAATGAGAACCTCTGACCTAAAGCTTTAAATCATTCCTCAAATGTCAGATTTAATTAACTTAAAATAGATTTTTGTGTCATTTGAGATTAATCCATATTTGGTATCTCTGGGAGTGTTTTTTGGGAACTGCATGTCCCTACCAACCCACCCTGATAATCTCCCTATGTAGGCCTCCAGGTTGTTTTTTACATTCACTCCAGGCAGAGTTTGTAGCCTCATAGACCAGATTCCTGATATGCAACTGTGAATAAATGAGATTTAAAAGATAGATTTGGCTCCTCCTCGTCAGAAAAGTAATTTGTTGTATAAACATGAAAGAGTTAAATACATTTAACTCTAAATCATCTACATATATAGAAGGGAATATTTTAATGTTGGTTAACAGTCCAAAAAATGAGCTAAGAATTGGATAAGAATCGTATAATTTCCAATCCTCTAAACAAAGGATTGTTTCAAAGAATCACCAACTGTGTGTGTGAAGTCAAAATCTCATACATTTTTTTAAATGTTTTGAATATGTAAATGACTAACATAAAGCTGCCACTAATACATCAGCTTATTCCGTCCGACTATGACCCACAAAGTCTCGGCTATCCCCACACATGGAGTAAAATCAGGAGGAAGCTGGATCTAGAAGTGTGAGTTAAACTGCACGTGTTCAGGCTTGTTCAGAGTTAATCTGGTTGTGCGGTGGAAGGTACTCACACAAGATTCAGTCGCCTCTTTTCTTCATTTTTCAATCTTCTTTCTAAAACCCGAGGAGACCGTGACTGCATCAAACAGGCGTCAGCTGGAATCTGAGTGTCCCCGTGATTTTCTGTCACTTAGTTTGACTTTCTGGTCCGACCAGTTTGGCTCCATGTTTCAGGCTGACTGCGGAGGTCAGGATTGGCTGCAGGGAGCAGCATTTCTGGTTTATGCTTACAATGGAACCAAACTCTTCTCCAAGCCCAGCACGGGGCCGGGTTCAGCCTCTGAGTAATAGAGGCTAAACAGAAATAGCTTAACCAGTCGATAAAAAATCCTGTTTATTTCTTCTAAACATTGTCAAGACTTCTCTTTGACCTCATAACATTTTTGGTACTCATTTGTCATCTTCAATCAGAATTTAAGACCCCAGATTTCCACCTTTTCCTTCGCCATCCTTTCTGCTTCATCTCATGGCTGAATAGCTTTTTTTAAGCCAATCACGGAGCTGCACTGTGATTGGTTGTTGCTAGGCTGCAGAGCCAGTAACAAGAAGGATGTCCGAGATAAAGACAGCAAATACTTGTTTCTTTTCTCTGCTCTGCCTCTTTCTAAGAACAAGGAGACATAGAAACCTGACTGTTAGAGAGTAACAGTTTTCTCTTTTAGGGGTGAGTTTAAATTAGAGTGAAAAACGAGGTTAGAACACTGACCTCCTCCTCCTCAGTGAGGAGGTTTGGTCCCCATGTTTGGAAATTTCTGCTTTTCTAATACAGCAAGTGGGGATAAATCAAGCTGAACGTATCCAGACTGTAGGGCATTCATAAAACATGCCTTAGAGAGCTTCCTTCTCAGAACAGACCAGAAGAATCAGACCATGAAAACATATTTTATAAATGAACCCGCTTTTTCTGGTGTTGAAATATCAGCTAATACTTGAAAAAGTCTTCAATTTAAAAACGATGAGGATGAGCGTTTTAGCTTGATGGTGTCAGTGTTGTGTCATAATAAGGAACTTTTTTAAACATGTAACTTTAATCTTTATCAGTCTGTAAATTCTACGTGAGAGAAAAGGAGCAAATGCTATCCTTCAAATTAAAATCTAAATCTAGTTTCTTGAAATTGTTTCTGTATATGAGCAGTTAGGTCCGGGATTGATGAGTAAGCAGCCATTGTTAGTGATGGCTAGATGCTATGAGGAGCTAGATAGCAGCAAACTAGGCCTAAACCTTATTTAACTCCTCCAAACTCCTCATCTATGGCTTTATGAGCCTTCATTGTGCAATGTCTGTTTTTACTTTTCTTCATTAGAGAAAGGCATCATGTTTTCACCAAATGTGCACTAAATATCTGGTTTCTGCAGCCTGTCTTACAAACTTGGCCTTGGATTAGCCCGCTCTCCTGCAGTTTTCCATCATAAATTCCCATCCAAAGCACTGATTACCAATTTTGTAACAACTTAAAACATCCTATAGGCATGGTTGTGAGGCTAATTGTTATGTATTCATGTATTTGTGTGACTCTGGTTGCTTACACCCACACAAGTGTGACGTGTTGAACTCTGAGCCCCTCTGGAGATGGGAGCGTTCTTTCTAAGCCGACAAACTGAGCTGATCTGGCCAGCGTCTCCTCGCTGGCATCCATTTTGTCTGCACGCCGCAGCTCATTGTGCTTAATGGAGGAAGTTTTTGGATCAGAGCCACAGATTCAGTCATTCCAAAAGGACGAAGGCAAGAATTCAGGTTTCCTTTGTTGAGAGGAGGGGAAAAGCAGAACGCACGCACACACGGTTCTTTGTCTGCAGACGGTCTTTGGCTTTCTCTCGCTCACACATCACACCCCGAGGCGTTGCTATGGTGATGGGATGGAGGAGAGGGGGGCAAAGCTTTGATATGAGTCTCTGAGGATTGCTGGCTGTGAATCCAAATGAAGCCCTGTATGTGTGTGTGGGCTTGTGCTCATGTATATCCAGTTGAGGACCAGTTATAGTGTCAAACACTGTGAGGACATCTTTTCTGACTAACGGCTGTAGATGGATGACAGTTTACACACAGATTTAGAGTTAAAGGCCTCAGATTACAACACATCACAACAGGGATCCTTGCAAAGATGAATGAAAAAGAACATGTGTGTTTTAGGATTAGCAAGCAGGCAGTAGAATGCACCTTTTTACAGCCAGCTATACGTTATTCAGTATGATTAAACTCTGCCTGCTGCTAAAATCACAGCTGTATTCACAAGCAAGGTGACAAATGGCAGAATTATATATACAGGAGCATAATCTAAACTTGTCTCTGATGTACCTGTCTTCTTATTCAACCCCCATAACAATAAATCCCTTCACTGACACAGTCTAGATGCTGGAGGTTTAATTGCACAGTGAAACATAGCAGCAGTTTGTTAGGAACCACCCTGAATGGTAAAAGCCTCCATACAAACAAGACACATGACGAGGGGATACCAGCAGGAATGCAATTGGGTCAGGGATGCTGTTCTCATGTGTTCTGCTGTTCTGTGTGCAGCTTTCTGGAGCTGAGAAGCCCCCTGCTGGAGAACCAGACAACAGCAGCTCTTCGTCAGCCGCCCCCGGAGCAGAGGCTGCAGATGGAGGCAGCAAGGTAGCAACCATCCCCGACAATCAGAGGCTCTGTAGATACAGAGATTAACCAACATCCAGATAATAACATCACCAAACACCCCACAGCAGCAAATAAGACTTGTGCTGTGTTTTTCTGTACAACATACATGATAGGAGACAGTTGTTTATTTGTCCCAAAGAGGGGACATTCACAGTATTGATTGCCTCTATTATTATTTACTTCAACATTTTTCTCTAAACGTGTTTATTACCCTTCTGCAAAAAAGCAAATACCCAGTCTTTGAATTAAAATGTGGATCTGTTTCCATAATTTTGGCTTAAACGTAAATCTAGCTTTGATAAGTCTATGCCTAAATTTGTTTATATATAAACCTGAGTATTACATCTAAATCTAAATGTTTTCATGCTTATTGTACAAAATGGCTATTTCTCTTTTCATGCCCTCCATCAATATTGAATTTTAGATTAGATTTTCATTTAAGATGTGAGGAAAATGTTCCAAATATGAGGAAATTGGTATGAATATTTTACATTTCTAAGCTTTATAAACTGGGTGTTCTCTCCTCAGGTGGAAATGGTCTTCTGGCTGCTCTCCATGCTAGCCAACAGAGACAAAGAGGAGATGTCCCGGACTCTGCTGGCCATGTCCAGCTCCCAGGACAGCTGCATCGCCATGCGAAAGTCCGGCTGTGTCCCCCTGCTCGTCCAGATCCTGCACGAAGCCCCCAGCAGCGGCGCCGCCTCCGGGGACGCGGCAGCGGGTGGGGCCGCGACGGGCTGCAGCCGGGAGGCCAAATCCAGGGCGAGCGCCGCACTGCACAACATCATCTACTCCCAGCAGGACGAGGGCCAAGCCCGCCGGGAGATGAGGGTCCTGCACATGCTGGAGCAGATCCGCACCTACTGCGACAGCGGCTGGGACTGGATCGAGAGCCACGCCGTGACGCCGTCACCCGGAGGGACCAAAACCACAGGTGACAACTACTTCTAATGAAGCAAGCACACGTTTTTTCCCACCTTCACAACTTCTGTCGTCTTGATTTAAGCTGATGATAACTTCCATTCTGTCTGTTTTGTTATCCGACGGAATCATTAGTCTGTCACTCCTCCATGTTGAAGAAGTCATCAACTTTTCCAACAAGGCTGATTTTCTCTGTTTCCTAACAGATAAAGTAAATGACCAGCTGGAAACTCTAAAATATCATGTTTGAAACCCCAAATTGGTTCGGAAATGCAGAGAAAACCAAACTGAGCAAAAATATTCAGGCTTCTTTATGACTAACCCATCACATCTCTCAGGATTTGTGCTCCAGGCTGTTCTTCTCTTTCCATAAATGTAATTTAAAGTCACTTTCGTTTTACCTGGCAGATATTCCCGAACCTGTGGACCCTCAGATCTGTCAGGCAATGTGTGCCATCATGAAGCTTTCCTTCGAGGAGGAGTACCGACGAGCTATGAACGAATTAGGTGAGACATTAGTTCACAATATATTTCATTATAATTTCATGTTTCCACACTAATTCTGTTTAAATACTAATTCGTTGTTTCTCCTTTAACTCCTGCTTATGTTCAGACTTTCTGCCTGTTTTACTTAAATGTTGCATGTAAACACTCTGGGTCATCCAAATATGACAGTAAGCTTAAAAATGTATCAGATTTATCTGGCATCCTTTAGATGCATGACACATTTGGGTCATAATTTCTTTATTAATAATTATTATTTAACTGATAATATTTAGAATTTTTACTCACTTTTTTGCATGCAGGACCTATGTTGGAATTGTTGTGACCCATTGCGGTGTTTCCTTCCAGGTGGTCTGCAGGTGGTGGCCGATCTGATCCACCTGGACCAGGAGATGTACGGCATGCAGAACGATCCTATCAACATGGCTCTGCGCCGCTACGCAGGCATGGCTATGACCAACCTCACCTTCGGAGACGTTGTCAACAAGGTACAGTCAGTCCAGCTGCTCCCCCATTTACCCCTATCCAGCTGTGGGAGCTGCATAGCAAACATCTTCATAGGAGGGTTAGTTGCAACAGCAAACATTAAAGAAGGCTTAATCATTTGGTAGATATTACAAATATCTTAAAAGGGCTTCCAGGAGTAGCCCAAAAATAAGTAAAAGTTGGTCTTTCCTTGGTTTAATTGTAATAAAGAATAAGACTTCACATGTGGTCAGTGAAGGGCCAATAAATGGCTTTGAATATGAGTCATTGTTTCATGCAAATCTATTGAAATTGAGTCTGTTATAAAGAAAAGATGTAATAGATTAGACTAAATCTGTCTCAGTTTTAATATGCAATATTTATATAGACCAGAAAGCCTTCAGATAATAGATTACCAATATGAGAAATATTCCCAAAAAAAGGCAAATAAAAAGTCATTATATTTCTGAAAATCAGTTAAAGATGTGAGACATGCTGACTCATGAATGTGCCCCCCACCCCTCACCATGCAGGCCACTCTGTGCTCAAAAAAGAGCTGCCTGCAGGCTTTGGTGGCCCAGCTGGCCTCTGACAGCGAGGAGCTTCATCAGGTGGTTTCCAGCATCCTCAGGAACCTCTCCTGGAGGGCCGACAACAGCAGCAAGAGAGTCCTGCGAGACATCGGCTGTGTGTCCGCGCTTATGACCTGCGCCCTGCAGGCCACCAAGGTATTCGACCCAAGCCAACCCCCAGAGGCATAAACCAGTAACATTTGTGCTTTTAGTATAAACTGTATGCATATTCACTGAAACATCCTCTAATTTACATGTTCCATCTGCTGAGTTTTCTTTCCTGATGAATTTGTCTTCAGATTGTTCATGTTTTGTTTTGTTTGTTCTGCAGGAGTCAACACTGAAGAGTCTTCTGAGCGCTCTGTGGAACCTGTCAGCTCACAGTATTGACAACAAGGTGGCGATCTGTTCAGTGGACAGTGCTCTGGGATTCTTGGTCAGCACACTGACGTACCGGTGTCAGACCAACTCACTCGCCATCATTGAGAGTGGTGGAGGGATCCTGAGAAATGTGTCCAGCCTGATTGCTACACGAGAGGACTACAGGTTGGTTTTTTAAATAATTTGAACAGACTTGCAATTTAAAGAGCTGCTGTTTGTTTGTTTTTACATTTTTAGCAAAGCAGTATATTGAACAATAATTGTTCTATTTTAATGTAAGAAATCTAATTTCGGCTAAAGAGCTTCTACAAACAGGAGCATTTACCATTACAGGAAGATACAGAGTACTGTAATTCCGGAAGCTACCAATGCTGGTCATTTAAGGACAAAACTCACACTGGGTGGTGGAATTATACATTTGTTAAAATCTATAAATTGAAAAAGTTGTAAAAGTAAACATCTGTATAGTTTTATTAAAGTGAGAACTCATAGTTTCTGACAATTGTAATCCACTACAGGTATTACCGATAGCAATATTAGGAGAGACTCCTGCACAGCTGTGATGAACTGAATGGAAAACCAAAACATACATGACTGAAACAAGTCATTTGTTTTACTTCTGTCTTTGCAGGCAAATCCTCAGGGACCATAACTGCCTCCACACTCTGCTGCAGCACCTGCGCTCCCACAGCCTGACCATCGTAAGCAACGCTTGCGGGACTCTTTGGAATCTCTCAGCCAGGAGTCCAAAAGACCAGGAGCTGCTGTGGGACCTGGGGGCTGTCAGCATGCTGCGTAACCTTATCCACTCAAAGCACAAGATGATCGCCATGGGCAGCGCCGCAGCTCTTAGGAACCTCCTCACCAATCGACCCTTAAAATACAAGGATGCTGCGGTTGTGTCCCCTGGCTCCTGCATGCCCTCGCTCTACATGAGGAAGCAGAAAGCTCTTGAGGCAGAATTGGACGCCAAACATCTAGCAGAGACCTTCGATACCCTTGAGAAACAGAGCCCCAAGCACTTGACCCTCAACAAGCCACTGCGGCACATTGAAAGTCTGGCTAAGGATTACGCATCTGATTCTGGGTGTTTTGATGACGATGAGGGGCCCAACATCTCCAGCAGCCTCGACACCGGTAGCTTCTCCATGCTGTCCATGTTCCTTACCAACTCAAACTTCCTGCAAAATCATCCTCGAAAGAGGGACAGTGAGCCTGAGCGAGATGTAGACCCTCCACACTTGGTTGAGAAGAGGCTCACTGCTCCCGATGACATGGTCTCTGCTGCTGCAGAGAAACTAGCCAAGAAGATTACTAACACAGTTGCTAAGATTGACAGGCTGGTGGATGACATCACCATGCACACATCCTCTGAGGATAGTTTGAGCCTGAGTTCTGAAGACCACCTGGCAGACTGGCCTTATGGCATGGATGAGCACAATGAAGCCCGGGCTAGTTCGTGCTCCCCCTGCCATCTCTCTGATACAAGCAGTTTGGCCCAAAGAGAACGCCTCAGCAGGGCACACGCCCTCCTACGCCTGAAGACAGCCCACACAAGCGTGTCCACAGACAGCCTGAATAGCGGCAGCACCAGTGATGGATACTGTGGCAGCAAAGACCAGATGCGAGCTCCTCCAAGAGCTCTAATGATCCAGCAACGACCCAACCAGCTTGACCTCAAAGTCGCTCATCAAGAGTATCTCAATGTGGGACCTCCTGTGCTGAATGAAACCAGCCCGCTGGATATTCCAGAAAGAGATTCTGTTGACAATAAGGATTTGAAAGCTGTGGAGCTTAGCAACACGGACGCAGAAAAGAACCAAGATCAACCCGTGCAAACACCTGTCAGTGTATCCACTAAAGTCTCATCAGATGTCAGCATGACGTCCATTAAACTGTCTCCTTCTTACCAACCAGTGCCACTTATTCAGAGTGTGGCCAAATTTGGTGTCGCAAAGACAGCCATCAACGTTCAGGCTGCCCAGGCAATGAGGAGGCAAGCTTGGGTGCCCACCGTGATGACTGGGGGGAGTATTGCAAAGTTTTCTCCAGTCACTGCCACCAGAAGTCCAACCATTGGGACAATGGAGACAGTCCAAAAGTACTCGGTGGAAAACACTCCAATCTGTTTTTCCCGCTGTAGTTCCCTGTCATCACTCTCCTCTGGCGACGGAGCTCTGGAAGGACAAAGCGAGAATGAGCTGGAGAGTGACTCATCTTTAGAGATTATTGAAGTGGAGGATGGAGAGGTGGTGAAGACAGCACAAGAGGACGAAACCTTAGAGGACCTGAGTGACAGCCAGCTGTTGATGACTGATTCAAAAACCTTCCCCAGCAAGGAGACAGATCCCATTGAGATCCCCTGTCCTTCTAAAAGGGAAAAGGTGTTCCTCAGGGGAGCTTCACCTGCTCTTCTTGAAGACCGGTCTCCCTCCAGTTCATCTGAGAACTACATCCATGAAACCCCTCTGGTATTAAGCCGCTGTAGCTCGGTCAGTTCACTGGGGAGCTTTGAGTCTCCCTCTATTGCCAGCTCAATTCAAAGTGACCCATGCAGTGAGATGATTGATGGCACAATAAGCCCAAGTGATCTTCCAGACAGCCCAGGACAAACCATGCCACCCAGTCGAAGTAAAACTCCTTGTTGTGTTGAGTCGAATGGACCAGAAACACAGACCACAGGGATGGCAGGACAGTGGGAAAACAGCCTCCGGAAATTCATGGAGATCACCGACCCAAAAGAGAGGTTCAATCTTCCTCCTGACCTCGACACCATGATCTACTTCACAGTGGAAAAACCCACTGAGAACTTCTCTTGTGCTTCCAGCTTAAGCGCTCTGCCTCTTCATGAACACTACATTCAGAAAGAAGTTGAGCTTAAATTAACTCCCCTACTCCAGCAAAATGACAAAAATCTCCCTTTCCCTGATGACGATGAACAAGGACTTGATCATGGGGAGAGATACAGTGAAGGCAACTCGGACGACGACATAGAAATCTTAAAGGAATGCATCAACTCAGCAATGCCCTCAAAGTTTAGAAAAGTAAGACCCTCTCTAATGACCACAATCCCTTCTCATTTACTCAGTTCCCAGATCCGAAAACCAATCAATCTACCTGTATACATGATGTTCCCTAATGGGAAAACCCAGATGTGTCCGGGGAGAAGAATTGTCATCCCACAAAAAGATTTCAAATTTGATGATTCTTCCTTTACAGATTCTGCAGAGGGCACACCGGTCAACTTCTCCAGCACAACATCACTCAGTGATGAAACTCTTCAGTATCCTGTGAAGGACAGGGGTGCCAAAGAGTGCACTGCTAAATGTCTGAACAAGCAGGAAATGATAGACAATGATGCTAAGAGGATAGAGGACTTGAGGATATTCTCACACTTCCACAAGCCCAATAGGACAAACTATGCACCTGAGATCCAAATGAGTCGGATGACAAAGCATGTGATTCCTACTCAGAGGGTCCTGATGCAGAGCAAAGAGGTCGCCGACAGAGTCGCTAACCAAAAGAATCGCGATCAGTCTCCCAATCAGCTAAAGCGGCGTCAAGGCCAAGGCCCCATCAGAAAACTGGAACTGCCAGTCATAAAGCAGAGCGTCGACGCTAACCTCAATGCCAGGTCACAAAGAGGACACACTATCTGTAGACAAATGACACATTCATCAGAAGACAGCATCAGCTTATATGATGATAATGAGGAAGTAACCAAACGAACAGGCAGAAAACAGAACAGGGAGGCAAGTAGAAAAACTCTCTCCCGAAGCATGACAAACATAGGCAGGATAGAAAATTCCCAAGGAAATCCCAGAGGCTTTCAAAGGATAAAACAGAATCTGATAAGAGACGAATCCCTGACATGTTACTCGCTCAGCTCCTCTCTCAGTTCTCTCAGTGATGCTGAATTTGAGGATCACAAATCAAATGCCCAGCAAATATGGTACAAGAACAGACACAACAAAACACTGAGTATGGCCCAGCAAACAAAACCATTGACTATTCACTGCCAATATGAGGAGCAAAGCTCACCGAGTTCTGTAAGCATGGATTCAGAGGACGACCTCCTTCAGAAATGCATAACATCTGCAATGCCTAAGCAGAGAAGGAAGATGGCCTCCAGGAAGAAAAAGGCAGAAAACACTCAAAAACAAAAACAAAAGGCATCAGATATATGGGACATGGATGAGGAAATGGACAGTGATGATATGGCATGGGATAAAGATTCTGACCTCAATAGCATTGAATGGAGAGCCATACAAGAGGGGGCCAACTGTGTTGTATCTGGGCTGCAAGCGTCGAAGTCTCAAGAGCCATCCTCCGAAGAAACCGAGTCAGTTCTATCTTTTATGTCAACATCGAGCTTCACACCCAAAGAAAGGAAGTTTGCTAAAGAAAAAAATGCCAACAAACCTCTAGACTTTGCTCAGCGCAAACCAGTTGCAAACTTGCCTGTTGTTTTTAGAGGCAGGACTGTGATCTATACGCCGAAAAAGGAAACAGCTCCATCCCAAAGGCCTCCCCCCAGAAAAATGCCAACCAAGACAGACTCTCCAAAGAACCCAAACCTGGCTCAGCACAGATCAAAGAGCCTCCACCGACTCGGCCGCCCCCAGGACATTGAACTGTCTCTCCCAAAGAGGAGCTCTACTCCACCTCCAAGGATACCAAAAAGTTCATCCTCTGGATCCTCACAGAGCTCTACACCTTCCAAACAGTCACAGAGGAAGATCACATCCCCAATTCAGACAAATAAATCCATCCAGAAAAAGATGGCATCACCAGCTAGAAGCCCACCAGCTAGTAGTCCCCCTGAGAGAAAAGGGAGGTCTCCTGTAGTCAATAAGAATGAGAGATCTCCTCCACCTAAAACTCAAAAGTCACCTGTCCGAATCCCTTTCATGCAGAATTCGATTAGGCAAGCCAGACCTCTGTCACCTTTGGTGACAAACCAAACAATGGACAGGCAAAGCAATCAAGTCAATGGGAAAAGGGTGCTACCAGCTAATCGATTCGACATGGTTAGGATGACCTCTGCTCACTCTAGTGGTGGTGAGTCTGACCGTAGTGGGTTCCTGAGACAGCTGACTTTCATTAAAGAATCAAAGAATGTGTTAAGACGTGACGGCTCGGCTCGCAACCCGCCAGGATCACAGAACGGATCCCCTCGCAGGACAGTTCCTGGAGCCACCGCTGTCTTCCTTTGTTCATCGCGCTGTCAGGAGCTAAAGGCTGTTGCCCAAACTCCAAGAAGGGTACAAGTGAAAGACTCTGGACGAGCACAGCAAGGCCAGAGGCCAAACCCTGGCCCACAGAAGCAGACTACAGCCATGTCGAGGGCAACATCTAGTGAGCGGGATCTGTCAAGGCGGCCGGCCAGAAGGACTAGCTCTGAGAGTCCCTGCAGGGTGGCACAGCGCAATGGTTCTGGTAGAGTTGCTGGAGTCAGGCAGCAACAGGACACCTTTAAACGCCATGCCTCATCACCGAGCATAAACATACTAAGCCGAGTGACCAGCCGCTCCTCTCTGCGCTCATCATCGTCTGATTCGAGTGGAAGAGCAAAAAGCGAAGAAGAGACTAAGAAGAAAGGGCAGAGATTCACATCTCGGCACCGTGATTCAGTAACTTGGAGAAGGATCAGGGATGAAGATGTACCTCAAATCTTGAAAAGCACTCTGCCAGCCAATGCATTGCCTCTGGTGCCTTCCCCTGACGAGGAAAAGCCGAAACCACCAGCTCTCCCAGGAAAACTGCCAACCATTCTCCTTGCATCTCGCAAGACAAGTGATGCAACAGTGCAAACAGACGACTTCGCAAACAACAAGACCAACTCAAGCACCTCTCCGACTGTTGAGGCAACTCAAGGGGAGGAAGGAGCGAGGCTGGCTGCCCTCAGGATGATCAGTGCCACCACTGGGAGTAACCTCCAGGACGTGGAGTCGGATGGCTCCCTGAGGAGCCTGTGCACCACAGACAACCACACAAGTGGAGTTGTCACTTTCCGTCAAGGATCCCCTAGCAAGGCCGCTCGAGTCAGTCCTTTTAATTACACCCCCAGCCCTATGACCTGCTGCCTGCAGGACACGCAGAGCCAAACAGCAACCATTAATGAGAAGTGTGTGGGGAAAAGCGAGTCATAGGGGATTGGGAGTTCAGAATGAATCTCAGCACTTGAACTCGGGGGTGTGCTGGTGCTGTACCTCGGGTATTCACCCTTTACCAACAGCATACCCTATTTCCATGTTTCTCTTTCTGAACAGCTGATCAGAGCCTCCATTCACCACTCATTAGAAGTTGGATGTATGCATTGCGACAGGTCTGGAAGGAACGGACCAGCCACAAACTTTTAGAGATGCCATTTAGAGGGAGATCTCGCCCAAAAAGCGCATCTTTTTGTACTTTCTTTTGTATTTGTAGAAAAATTGCCTGGTAGAAATGTAGTGAAAACATAAAGCAAAAAGACAATTAACTTGATTTCACCACATAGATCACCCTCGGCTTCTGGACACAATCGATGAGAACAATATTATGCAAATGACTGAATGGATTTTGAAAGGAATTCTGCCCGAAAAGGTTCAAACTGTGGTGGAGTACAGACACTCGCCAAATTCACCTTTTTTTTCTTTTTTACATCAATTCTTTAAGTCCTTGCTTCATCAACCAACCAAATAGGATGTTACCAGTCTTGTAAAATCATGTTTATGCTTTATTCGTATAATACTCCAGCTAAACACATTAAACAACCTCTTTTTGTCATTAATTTTTTATATGTAGTACACAGCATTTCCAAAAAGGATTCATGCTATGATGCCCATAACATCCATTTTTATAACAATATATAAAAGAAAAACATAGCCATTGCAAAGTGGAAACCTTAAATCAAACACTTAGGCACAGAAATGCATCACTGCTGGATCTGATCCAGTGTTTTTGGGTTATAGAAATCAGTTATAGAGACATAGCTACTGCCTTAAGGTTTTAGAGTGAGTTCTGTGGATGAACCCTCATTGTATAAACAATTAAATGTTACAGTATTAAGTGATCCAGTACAATACAACCAATGCCAGTTCAGTTTTACCCAACATGATCTGTAAGATAATGATTCTTAGTCCCTCTTTGCTAGCTCCATCCCTGCAGTTCATGTTAATTTAAAGTCATGCTTTAACAGGCATACCAGACAATGTTTCCGTCACAGAAAAAACACAGTTAGCCTCCTTACTATTCAAAACTGTGAATAACTCTGGGTCCTTCTCCCTTCTCTTTCGTGTCGATCAGTTGTAAATAACATGCAGGTATACAGAGGCTTCCCGGCAGGTGTTGCTTCCTGACAGCATGCTAATATATTCACTGACTGTATATGCACACCTGTAACCTTTGTGGGCACTGGATAATGACGCTGATGTTCTTCAGTAGTGAAATATTTTCCCAAAGCCTGACGCCATCTGTAATCTTGTGCTGCAAAGACCTGTAAACACACACCTCGGTCAATGCAACGATGTTTTAATTGTGTTTGCTACTAGATTCAGGTACCGTTTGCTATGAGTATATGACCCTATCAGCGATGGATGGATGGATGGACCACGTCCTCACGGGAGTTCTATGAAATGTGTTGATATCTGCTTTACTGTGTTTCTGTAAAATTAGTGTTAGGTGGGGGAAGAATATAAAGACAATGAATATTCTCTGTAGCTGTTCCATCAATCTTTCATGTGTGCCCTGCAGAGCTGAATGGAATGAAAATCAATCTACATGGAGGGGCTGTTAGATTACAAAAGAAACAGGACATTGTAGCCCCAAAGCATGTATCAAACCAAACTCAAGTAACCTTTAAAAGCCCAGAGAACTGAAAAGGGACAAGCAACTGAAATCTCTCTTTTTAATGTCAAACATCAGAGGAAGTGAGAGTGGCAACATTTGAGACTCTTATGTGATAAATTAGGGCTACCAGGAGGGTCAAAGATATTTACTGAGGATTCTGCCTCTTAACTATTTCTCATGTCAGTCACTTAATTATTTTCCAAAAATCAACAGAGAGCCACACAATTGTCTAATCTTCTCTAACGCCATTTAATAAGATGTAACACATCTGTATTCATAATTAGTTCTCACCTTATCTTTACTTTAAATATTGTTTCTAAAGTTTTTAATTATCAAACATTTTAGGGGAGCAAAAATGTATAAAGATTTCATTTAATTTGAGTGAGTGTGAGTGGCTAACTTGTTCAAGGTCCTTTAGTAAATGTCAGATTTTGTTTCTTAGAAAAAGAGGAGAGGGAATCAATTATTCAAAGTGATTCCTCATTTTCTGTTTCTTAGCATGACCTTTTTTTCCCTTTTTGAATGCACAACTTTGGACTTTGGAGTTTTAGATGCACAATGTTACTTTTCTGAGTTCTCAAGCCTGCTTTCTCATCGTGTTAACATAATGTATGCTTCGTGGTAAAAATCAGTTTCCAGCCTCAGAGGTTGAATCATGTCTGAAGGACTGTAAACAGGTGGATTTACAGGCTGCTTTCGGTTGTTTGACATTCAAAAGACAGATTTAAGGTGGATTAAGGGCAGACATGGAGCCTTCGGGTTCTCCTCCATCATTATTGGTGGCCTCGTTCACACCTGGCTGGAAGTCAAAAGCTACATGTGAACGAAGCCTCAGAGAGCTTATGGTGTCATGTGGAAAAGGCAAAACAACAGATGTGTCATTATAAATGTCTTCTTCCAATAAAAAGTGCTGTGTTTCCTTAATCTGAGGTGCTTTCTTTTGTTTCAGATTGCTTTTGAGTCTGTTGTGTCTGTGTGTGAATGTGAAGTATTGGTTATGATCCATTACTTTGGATGATCGTCCACCAGGTGTTCGCCTCCCTGCTGATTCTTGCTTTAAAACATGCCCATCTTTATGGTTTAAAGCATGATGTCAAACTGAACAGTGAAAAGGAAAATGGTTACAAAGAGTACAACCGACTGATGAGATTGGAGCCAAGCTTTCCAGCTCAGAAACTCCTGAACGATGGACATTTGGGTTGGTCTGACTCCTGGCTCTGTTGGAAAGATGGCGGAAGCACAATATAAACCATTCCTTGTTGGTTTTCATTGACCTGAATACAAGCTGCAATGTCACGTCTGTGTTCCTGAGCCATATAAAAAAAAGCAGTGAGAGCGAAAGGAGGGAAGTCTGATCAAATGTAAAACACACACCTGCTGGAGGAATGGCTTTTTCTTTAGCTATAGCGGGCGGGGAGAGAAGACGAGATCTGTTTGGGAAAAACAATCTTCCATTGGTTTAAAGCAAAGAAATGTCAGCCAACATGAAGCTCAAATAACAGAATATGCTTTATTCTTTCTGAAATACATTTTGTACACATTAATACAAGTTTTTACAAAAGAAAAGATAGGAAAGGATAGAAAGCAGGTTCCCTTTCCTTTAGGCTGTGATTGCTGAAAGGCGAGCTGAAGTCAAACCAAGTAAACTGGTGTTCACTAAAAAATGAATGCAGTGTAATTAAGTAATGTTCTCTTCCAGACGCATTCACCTTCCATAAAACCCATCATTTCTGCAGCCTCACACAGGTTACTCCTCAGAGACTTTTGACAAGAGTCCTCAGAGACAAGGTCAGTGGTCGGCCAGCCCCTTCCTTTGTGCTGAAAGCTGACACGTCCAACCGAGGTGAGTTTGTGCCAGAAGTGCTGAGTCAGAGAATCCGGTTCTTGACCTCTTCCACCTCTTTGTCCAGACGCTCCCCGGTGGCCTGCAGCTCCTCCCTCTGCTGCTGCAGCCGGCCCCGGGACTCCTCCAGCTGCTCCGTCAGCTCCAGGAACCGGCGACACTGCTGGAAGCGAAGCTCCACCTCACTGTCCGCAGGGGGGGGCGACTCTGAGGAGAGAACAACCAGGCGGCCGTCAACGATGGGCTTCAATCTGCAGCCTCCACCAACCACAGGGTCATGGGTGCACCACTGAGGATGGGAGATATATCTGCAGCAGAGTGTCTTTTCCTGGATTCCGTAAACCTCTGTGGACTCACCGTGTCCAGTTTTTTCCAGGATGCTGAAGACCGGGTCGTTGGGATCAGCTTTGCTGATGTCCTCCAGGATCTGCTCCACTGTGGGGGGTTCAGGGCGGCTTGGAAGCACCACCCGCTTCTTACTCTTAGAGACAATATTCATCTTTATGGACACAGCACCAGCTCCTCCACCTGAAAGTCAAATAAGCTCAAATTTAAGATTTTTCTTAAGAAGGGAAGTGATTAACTGCACCTCCATTAATGGACTGAAACACAATAGCTTTTCCATGTTCAGCAGCTTTCATGTATTGTTATCAAAGTGTGCATACAGTATCTGTTACCAATCCATTAATGTCAACCTTATTTAGAATAAACCATGTGCTGCCTCACCCAGACCTCTGATCACGTACGTATGCAATCAATATAAGCATATTATGGCAGTGGCTAAACTCGGCTGGTATAATAAATACATTTATAGTACATTTATATGGTGTATCTACACAAAATACAAAAGCTTTCACAGCCACTTAAAACATTTAAACCAGGTCAAACAAAAGGCTATATCGGTCTGAATTACAGTATTCGTTCCAGTTCGATCACAAATGTATGAGCCAAACCTTTTAAAGCGCCCTTAAGATTGTTTAGACCTGTTTTGAAGATGGTGCCATATGTCCATGTATCTTGATTATTTTTTAATTGTGCCATTTGTTAAATGAAGTTCGACAACTAGCTTGCAGAGACATTAAACACTATGAGCACCCCTCGCCTTTTACTGACCTCGATTATTTTTCTGGTAGGTCTCAGCTGCTGTTCAGTCCGTTTGCAAAAAAAACAGTCCGAAGCATCAACCAGATAGAGTCCCGATCCTGCTGTAAACAGGAACAGTGGCAACCGAGCGTGACCACACGCAACGTAGCAGTCGTACGTGATTGCGTCATCACTTGTGCGCAAGTTTTAACCAGCGTCAGCTCTCCGTACCGCCATCTACAGGACTGGAGCAGTTTGCTAGTTTAAATTCAAACATATTTAAAACTAATTGATCCCTCATGTCTCTGTTTAATTCTTAAATTTCATAAAATCGTTTAAAGATTTTCATAGAGGAAGATGATAAATATAACATAAAACAGAGGGCAATAAGATTGTGGTGTTTCGGCTTCAAACATTTAATAGATAAGGAAAAAAGATTAAATAAGATCATATTTTAATTTAACAGCTGAATAGATAAACTAATGCAAGGAATCAAGTGTAAGTTGGAAGTTGTATTCATTTACCAAGAAATAATCATTCAGCATCAAAAATTAAATATCGAAAGACAAGGTGGACTGATCAGGGATAAAACAAAAAACAAAAGCCGTGGCTTATTTCTTAAAAATCAATAAAAATGTAATCTTTGACTTCTTAATTCATTTGAAATTTTATTGAACGAACTCAGCTAAAAAACAGAACAAAACACAGTTTTCAATGTCTTCTCAGGCAATCTTCATTTTAGTAAGAAAATATAAACAAATTTAAAATTCTGTCCTCGCAACATGTTCACAAAACAATTGTGGGGGCACATGTTTATGCATTTATGTTTATGCACAGATGGATAGAAAGACCATTCATAGTAGGTTAATCAGTGACATGTGAGGGTTCCAGGGTTGCGTATAAAGAAAGCAGTACGTGATTAGAGACAGGAGTAAGAATGTGTTCCAGAAAAACTTAAAGTCTCAAAACTTAAACTCAAAGATTTCTATGTGTGTTTGATTTATAGATTCCTCCTTTTAAAGAGAAAGCACAGATTCAGTTACTCATCTTTAGAGAGAAAATAAATGACACAGTGATGGAGAGGGAATTCTGGAATCTATATATATTAAATCCCTGATTGGAAAGTTTTTCCCCTTAGACTTATTTATACTTTTGTTTTCAGCTTGGTACGAAAAATACATGATTAGATTTATTAGAATATGTGTGGTTCTATCATTTGGATAAGACTTGGTAAATTGTAGAGACTTCTAATTGTGCTCTGCCAAAGTCTGAAAGTCAGCCACCCGAATTCCCGTTTGTCTAAAACTGATCATTATCAGACCAAAAGGCAGAATTAACCACCCATAAAAGCTAATTGAAGAAGAAACAGAAGAAAACAGCTCTAACTTATAAGGTTTTGGTGGAATGTGAACTTCAAGCATGCTAAAAATTCTAATCACACAACTTCACTGACTTTTTCCAGAAGCAGTGTAGAGATTCAGCTCAGAGGAGAAAGAGTGCCAGTCTGATAAAAGGCTTAAGCTTTTCTGAGTTGATTATAACCACATGTAAGGAGGTTCATTTGTAAAAACAAACTAAATAGTGATCCCCAAATTATCAATGAATATAAATATAAACACAGAGACTGTTATCGGAGTTTCTGAGCTACAGAAATACGACAGCGTCACAAATAAATTACATCCATCTCTTTGACAGAAGCTGCTTTTTGTCAGTGGGATCCGTCTTGATTTAGAGAAAAAACTTTGCGCCCTTTAGTCTTCTTCACCGAGACTCCTTCCCTTCCTCTTCAGCTGCTATCTGACAGACTGAAAACAGGCAGAAAAAAGGTTGATGAGATCTTTTCTTTCCAGATTAGTTCTCTTCTAATTTCTGACATTATTTTTTAAGTAAAACCACTTTTCATCATCATTTCTGTACGATAAGCCTCTCTGTGTATGTTTGAGAGTTGCTTACCATCAGTCTATTCCGAGCTCATCCTGATGTGCAGACAAACAAACAACCAGCATTAAAAAAGAACCAAATAAACAGATGCTGGTTTCACTTATGGACCTAAGCATTGGAATACTTTATGCTTAGCTGCCCCTCAGAACTGTTTCCATACACATTTATAGTCCTGAAACTTTCAGAAGATGTTAAAGAGGACGGTCACCATCCAACACACACCCTGATGTATTCAACACTCCTCTCATAGACCATTCCTGAAAAGAAAAGGTGGTTTTAGTGGTTCACTGTCCTGCTTGTTGCACTTTTGACATCCCAGAGAAGCCCAGTGAGTTGACTGAAATTTGAGGAGGAAAAGGGGTAGTTGGCTTTGAAATCCTCCTTTGCGGTAAATGGTAAAACGCATAGAGTTAATTTAAATACCAGAGTGTGAAATGTCTCCACTGTGAGATCAATAAAGCTTATCTTATCTTAAATAAAGCTGTTTTTGATGCTGGGAGGTCTCTGAGACAAAGGAAAAGACTAAGTGTTCTCAGTGTTCTCAGTATGCTTTGGAGTTTATTGCAGTGAGCAGTGTTTCCAAAAATGAGCCAGGAAACAAAAGTTAACTAAAGCAGATCTGATGGAGCAGAGACAGAAAGAAGAGCACCGCTGATTTTCAGGCAGAAATGAATACTTCTAGATCAGAGTTGGAGAAAGTCTCCAAAAGAAGGTTGGAAGAAGGCCTAAAGGGAAGAAGGGCTGCTAAGAAGCCATTACTGAGACCGGCAAACACCCACAAACACCTGGCGGTGATGGAGGAGCCCAGTCAAAGTTTATGTGGGATTGACGACATTTAAAGACTGATCACCCAAAAGTTTAATCCAAAGCAAGCCTGTGTGAACTTCATAAATTTCTGTGGGACTTAATGCCAAGAGAAACAGTCACAAAGGAGAGAAAAAACATCAGAGGAAGAATGGAAGCGGTTATCAAAAGCAAAGATTTGAAGTGTGTTATTATGAAGGAAAAAGGAACATTTAACTGCTTCCCTTTGGTACTTAGCAAAGACAGAACTCAGATAGTAAAAAAAAAATTGTTTTTCTAACAAGTTGTTAAACACATTTCTACAATGACCCAACAGAAAAACACAACCACGTTTTGAAACACAGTTTTAAGTTCACATTTTTGTGCACCATTGCACACACAGGGGCTTTGCTTATTCTGATCACACGTTCACTAAATGTTGTAAGGAACTACTTTTCTAACACCAAATCAGCTGACTTACCAAACTGTTCAGCCAAGGAAAGGCTGGAGCAGGCGACAGGACAACGAGGTTAGCACGTCATTCACAGGGTTTTCTCCAAACAAATAAGCAATGAAGGTTTTCTGAAATATCTCTAGTTCTGTTCTGTATTGATATGTTTGTTGGGATTTGACATCATATATATAAAACTGAATTGAATTGAAATAGTGGAAAAACTGGAACAATTTTGAAAATTTCTGCATTTTTTTTACTAAAACCGCACATATTTATGAGTAAACAAAGGGCAGTATAATAGCATAATAGGAATAATAATTCATAGTAATAAGCCTGTGCAATACCTTTACCTTCAGTGAGTGTTACAGACAGATTTTGTGTCTAGAAACGGCAGCTAAATGCCAACTTTTCCAGCTCAGAGTCAAACTCAGGGGATGTGGTCGTTCCTACTCACTATTTTCTCCTCTTCAGGGTCGGACGGACCAACCCTCGCCGCTGATGTTTGTGCAGATGTACTGGGTAGGCTTTTGGGTTCTGATGGAGCGACTTGCTGCATCGAGCTCAGCAGGGGTTTATTCTTCACCAGTGTGGTCAAGACTGAGGTGGACAAAGTACAAAAGCAGAGTTGGCCAGTCAGAGCAGGGTCTTGCTGCTCAGAACCGGTCCCTCCGGAGTCGGACTGGTCCCACCTTCTCTGGTGAGGTTCTCGGCGGCGCTCATGGCCTTCCCACTGAGGTCACTGACCATGTTGTCCACCGTGGCCTCGTGGCGGAGGTAGATGGGCCGAACCACTTTGTTGTAAATGACCTGGGAGCCGTTCCATGTGATGGGAGCCATGCACCACAACAGGAAGAGACACTGGGGACCACAGAGAGCATATGAGGTGGCTCTGTCTCAGACTGATGGAAAACATGAGCTGAAAATAAACTGTTTACGTCTCAGGAATTGCTCAAAGTCTCAGTTGTTCAAAAGATGCTAATAAATCTGAGAGCTGCATCAGTGTAAACTTTGGTTTCAGAGGAGTGAGATGATCCTGTGTGTCCTCACCTTAAACGCATAATAAAAGGGGAACCAGTACAGAAAGATGTCAGAGAAGAACTCCCCCAGGCTGAAGACGCCGTACACCACCCAGTATGTCAGCCATTTTGTGTCATCATCTTTGTTGAGACTCTCGATGGCTTTGATTCTGCAGAAGATCAATTATGGGCAAAAGCTGTTACAGAAAAGCATGTTGTTCGGTAGCTGTTTGACCAAATGTCTCCTGAATAAAAACTATTTATATCTTCCATGTTGTTAGAATGGACATTTTACAGTACGGAAACAAGCTGGAGGTGAAGGGACTCTGTCCAAAATGTAAAGCCTTCCTTTCTTAATTGTCATTTATATGAGGAATACACATCTTATGAGAAAGTCCTCTTAAATGCTTTGTGGGCAGTAGATGGTATTTAGGAGGTTAAACTGATCAAGAATGATGGAAGAAAGTCATGGAAAGTCTCCATGAGCCATCTCTGAAGCTCAATCTAAGCACAAAGAAACAAATAATTGTACATTTTTTACCATATTTTTTTAACATTTCCGATCCATTTACCATTAAATTACATAAACTTGGCTGGTCCTGCTAAAGGTCTTTGATTCTTGCGGAGTTACAGAAAACCAGCTCATCTTTGGGCAAAATGAAGCATAAAAACTCACGAGTAATAGGCCGGATAGACAAAGCCAATCAGGTTGCAGAGGAGCGCGGCGCCGTAACCGTACACGAGGTAGAGTCCGGTCAGGGAGACGGCACCTGAACCAGAATGCACACTTAATCATTAATGGCACATCTTAGATACAGTTATGGCTCAGAGACTGCACTCTTTGCTAAATGATAAAATACAACATTCAACAGTGTATACCTCCATCACACGTCTGGAAAATGCCCCACACAGGGATTTAGACTCACTCTGCTGCAATGTCATAAGAGGCAGATCTAAAAAAAACTATGATATCCAAAACTGAATCAAACACGTGAATCAGTAAGTAAAAACTTGAAAAGATGTGACCATTTGAAGCATAAACATTGTGATACTGAGAGTGAACAGCGTCCCTTTACTTAATTCCTTAATGTTTAAGATACACATTTTATTTTACATGATGACTGGTTGCTCTGATTTAGTTGAATGGAACGAAATGAAACAGACAAGGACAAAAAAAAGTTTCCCAGGTTCAAATAGGGAGCATTTGTAATTTCTGTTACTGAGTCGGGTTGAAAAGGTATTTCAGGTAACAAAAAATTAACAATAATAATACTGGAAGCATTCTGATTCGAGAGGGTCTATTTGTATCCTGAAGACCAACAGCTTGTATGAATATTCATAAAACAGCAAATTAATGAGGAATGTTGATATATTTGATCTACAAAAGATGCAGACGGACACAATTCCTGAAAATTACAAGGAATTCTGTTTAAGTTCAGTTTAAAAAATATTAGAGGATGGAGCTGAAAGGTGTAGAAGTGAATTCTAACACATTTGTTTTTCATTCGTAAAAAAATAGAAAGCAAAAATAATACACTGAGAAAACCAAAGGTTTCTAAAAGAGCAAAAGAACCAAAAGATAAAAAGAACAAAAAATAAACTGGGAACTCAGGACAAGGAAGAAACAAAAGGGGATTCAGGGAAGACATTAAGAAATAACTGCAGAGGGAGAAGAACAGATGAGGAATGAATGAAACAGAGAGCTTATAGAGGGAGAGTGAGTAGAGGATGGAGGGCAGGCGAGACCGGAGGAACTGGTGAAGGGAGAGGAATGCATGAAGGAGGGAGAAAAAACAATAAAATAACCAAAATTGCACTGAAACTCAGACAGAAAAAGAGTGATGATATAATACCTTAAACTACAAAGAAACCAAAGACAAAGTCCATAAAACACAACTCAAGACATAAAAATGATCAGAGGGTTTAGGCTTAAATGGAGCCACAGACCACACAGGGCTTAAATGTAGATATTTGTGACCTCAAAGTGTCAGTTTTAGGATCAGCGGTATATAAAAAATACCCATAATTTAACAACTCTGTAGTTTATTGCTAGGAGGTCATTTTTAAAGCAGTACATCATTATTTCTCCTGTTCCAGGACTTCATTATCAGTGGTTGGCGGGGGCTAACTTCCATCTCCCCTCAAATACGTGACAGAAAGTGGAATTAGTTCTGGTCTGATCAAACATTTAGCAGGGATGGAGCTGCTCACAGAAGGTTTCTCCATACCCCAAGTAGGTTTGGGCAGTTTAAATGAGCAGAACCATGTTTTTTATAGCAGATAAATGCCGTTTTAACTAGTTATATGACTAGTTCCAGGGGGCTGTGCCCCCCTTTCATTGACCCTGATATAAACTGTTGGTAAAAAAGTAATAATTAAACCATAAAAAACTCCCAAACAGATATAATCAGTCACATTATCCCTCCACATTGTGGCAAAAAATGCAAATATTTGAGCTAAACATGCTCTGAATGGAGCTCCCTGAGAGAAAAAGCTGCCTACCTCTGATCAGCTTACGCTGCTGTTCAGTCATGGAGGCCGCTCTGCTCTGCTCTGCACCCTGTCTGTGGATAATCTGCTTTAAGGCCAGTGCTGGGTGGGAGACAGTGAGCACCAGGCACCAGGCTGACATCATGTCCTGCTCACTGTATCACTGAGCACACAGCTGTTCACCACAACTCGCTTCCCCAGAGCTGGATTTCTCCATCCTGCTCCTGGAGACCTCCTGACCTGCTCTTTAACACTTTTTTTCCCCCATCCTTAACACACCAGATTGAGCCTTATTAGTCTTTGTGAGGCTTCTGTAAAGCTTGGTTATCAGTTGGCATGCTGAGCGGCACATCTGAGTCAGAATCAGAGTGCTGAGGCCTGGAAGCATCTTACTGAGCACAAGTATATGATCCCTGCCTGATTGTGCAAGGCTACTAATTTAGCTTGATGAATGATCTGATTCGGGAGTTTTGGAGGTTGGTCATGCAATATCAAACAGTGCCAGGTGGAATTCCAAGAAGCAAAGACTTTGCAGGACGCTTAGAGATTAATAAAGCTGAGCTGATAACTAAAAGGTTAGTAATGACCCCTGTATAATGAGGCAATTCCAGAGGGGATAATTCCAAAAGATGATTTAAATCTCTTTAAAATACTGACAGATGCTTCAAAACGAAGCCAATGGATGATAACAATCAGAGGAAATCTATTCTTGGGGGGAAACGACTACAGCAGATGACTAAAAGGAGAGTTTCCAGTTTCCTCTTTGCACCTTTTTGGATCCTGTAATTTCTTTCTATATGTGTGTAGTGTTTGTCAATGCCACATTCCAGAATAAAACAGGGATAGCATCACTAAGTGAAGAGCTAAAAGAGAGGGGGGACTAAACACGGTGAGTTGAACACAACGGGGACCGGTTTGATGTAGAAAGGACAGCAGGAATGACAGCAGCTGTTCTCTGGAGGATTAACTGAATCCTCTGCAGTTTCCCACCGACCCACAACAGTCAGGACCCAAAAAACCTGAGTCCCAACGGGGGACTCACCCAGCAGCCATTTCAGCTTACACAACAGGAGATGCCTCACGTACCGCCGGCAATGATCTTCTTCTTGATCCCCGTTTTCTCCTCCAGCTTCCCCAGGAAATCAGTCACAATATTTTTCTCGTTCAGAAACTTATCGGCTCGCTCTCTGATGGAGGTGAAGAAATCCAGCAGGCCCATGGTCCCAGAAAACGTCCTCAGACGGCGGAGGAGACACAGGGAGGCGGCCTGTGGTGGAGACGAGAACACAGCCAGGTGGTAATCCCCTGACAGCTCCAATCAGCTCTGATGTGGGGGGGGGGGGGAGGAGCTGCATCATGTGACTAACCAACTGTAAACCCAGAAGTCTCATCTCTCAAAGATCTTTCAAATCAGCCCTCAAATTTAGACAAAATCTGAAGATGGAACAGTGATCCTAAGATACCCAATGGCACTTTTAGTGGTCCAAAGACTCAGAGGTCCTGATGTTGTATCCACTTAGGAACAGAAATTAAATTACAAATATGAGCCTTAAGGTCCAGTTATAAGATATATGGGGTACATGAGATGAGACGGTACCTCAGAAGAAACAAATGTGTTCTAACTGTGCCAAAAAACCTTAAAAAAGACCAAAACTGGGGATAGAAGTCCGATGAAAGCCGTGACCGACTGCATCTGTTCTGGTTTTTACCGCGAGGAATTAGTCTGTTTTGGGGCCTTTAAAATGTCTCGCTGCCCTGCAAGTTTTAGATGTTTCTCTGGTTATACACCCCTGATTCACATCAATGTGCCGTTACTGTGCAGAGCCTAACAATGTTACCAATAGGTCCATCTTATCAGAATCAGTTGCTCTTAAGCGGGACAACTATAAAAACCGGCAGGACAGCAGGAGTTTAAGAAAGCTGACTCAGACGATTTAAAGAATGATAGAAATGAAAAATGAACTGAAAGGACAATGTGTTGTGCTTCCATTTTCCATTTGTTTAACCTTTGTTCTACCAGGCAGATACTCACAATTGAATGATCTATTACAATAATACAATAGGGAGGGTCATCACATAATACCAGACAAAAATAAGACATCAGAATAACATTAAAACAAATAGCATTCGGCAGGACCTGTATGATCCCAAATGTCCCATCAACACATCTGTGGCCAGCATTTTCACCATTAACGCACTCAAAGCACTCTGAGGCAGACAGACAGGCTCCTTTTCCAAATATATTCAGTGAAACTGCCGGTTGTTATGGAAAAAATGTACCTGTTCAGAAGAAGACTGGAAAAGTAAACAACTCTTTGTGTTAGCTAATTTGGCTCAAATGTGTCCTTGTTTGATTTCAAATCTTTAGCATCAACCCTTTTTTGTTACAGGACCTGATTTCTGCAGCAGAGATGCCTCCTAACTCTTTAAACCCAGGCCTGGGTCACATTTTGTTCTCAGACTTTGCTCCCTGTTTTGGGATTTGCTGATTTTATATTTCTCAGACTCAAATAATAAATAATTATGAAAGTCATCACAGGACTAAAGTAGGATGTCTGGTTTCGTGTGGTTATGTAGACCTGTATCTAAAAGAACAACATAAACTCAGATACAAAGCAATCACAGTAAATGTTTATTCCACAAATCAGAATGAACATTATACACCAAACCGTGGGTTCTTTGGTATAAAACGGCTGCTTCAAATGTTCCTGAAACAAAACCTGACACCAAATCAAAACCTAGTGGTGTTCTATCAGTGCTTTAATATACCAAAGTCAGATTAAAAGTTACAAAACTGCTGTTTATCCTGCATTTTATGTACATTTTTTCTGTCAGAACTCGAGGTTAAAGCTCTTCTTTCTTCTTTAGGATAATCTGCCGCACCATATCTGCTATCTTGGGTCGGATTTCCTTGACAGAAACTTTTGGTCCCCATGCATCAATCACTTTGCCGTTTACATCAATTAGGTACTTCCAGAAATTCCAGTCGGGCTCCTTTCCAGCCTCCTCTGCACAGAAGAAAAGTTAACAATAAAAGTTAATGTGGTGTTTTTCTAATGTTTTTCAGTGTCTTTTTTACTGGGATGAAACCCACACATAAAGACCCAAAGAGTTCACTCATCTAACCAAATAACCAGAATCAGGTGTTCCAGTCACTTCCATGGCCTCAGGGGTGTACAATAAAGCAGCTGTGCTACAAGTCCAGTCCCTAAGTCCCCAAAACACTCCACGGTTTTAGAAATCTCTGGGAATAAATCAAGAGTAACGTACATCTTTAATTGTTCGCTTAGGCTCCATCTCACTCACCGCTAAGGTACTTGAAGACATTGTTGGCCCCAGTTCCCACCACAGCGATCTTGCTGAATATTGGGAACGAGGCCCCGTAGACTCTGCGCACGAAGCTGTCGATGTCCTTGTCGCTGCCGGGCTCCTGCTGCCCAAACTGGTTGCAGGGGAAGGCCAGGACGTTGAAGTGGTACGGGCCGAAGTCCCTCTGGAGCTGCTGCAGGTCTCTGTAGTGCTCCTCAGTGAAGCCGCATTCACTGGCTACATTCACCACCAGGGACACCTGCAAACGGCACAATCACAGCCTTACAATCCCAGCTTTACACGGCTGGCCAACGGCGCTCTGCCTCAAGCACTCTTGTCAACTTTGAGCTGCTGCTTTGTGATCACAGACACAGATGTCGGTGCAGGTTGAAACGTGTTGCAGCTTCATGCTTTAACTCAGGCCTCCTCCATCGTTCAGGGGCGATCCTGCCATCTGGTGCTGCAAACTTCTGTTCATTTGTTGCAGGAAGAATCACGATTTCTGGATTGGTGGAAAATCAAGCTTGGACACTGCAGGTCCACAATAGCTAGTGAAGGAATATGAACTGTGTTTTAAAATTCTCTTATGAGGCTGCATTTTAATCTGTTTGTAAGTGTGCATAATAAGTGATATTTCCCTTTAATTAGGGTGACCAAACGTCCCCTTTTGCCCACTTGTCCACTTTTTGCATCCTGTCCGGGGCATCCAGAGGGGGATTATGAATTCATGAAAATCTCCGGTTTTCAATGTTTTTCGTGGAACCATAATCGTATGCCTAAACCCACTGGTGCTTTGCACAGAATGCTATGGTACTTCGTTGCCTGACGTACTTCTCGAGGGGCTGCCTTGTGTGTGTGTGTACGTGTGTGTGAGGGGGTGGGGGGTCAAGCGAGACCCCTACACATACACAGGGAGCAGAGCAGCCAGCAGTGGAGACAAAATGCCGAAAAGATAGTGCAGCTTCACAGACGAACTGCAATTACTGCAACAAGTGGGACAAAAAGGATCTATACTCTTAGTAAAGATTTTTTTGTTGCGTTTGTATCGTTGTGAGGCTGTTTCATTCATTAAATTAAGAGGGTAACAGGTGTTTTGTTGAAGCTGAATTTTCTAAAACAGAAAAGGTCATACTTAGGACATTATTTGATTTTATTTATATATTTTAAAGGGGGGCTACAATGTTGTTACTGGTTGTTACAGATTGTGTTTCACAAGTTTTTTTTTTTTACCATTGAGGTATTATAAAGCATATTCATTCACATTTGAGAAGCCAGTCTGAATCCGTCGGGAGGCTGGGCAAAGTGTCTTCCTTTTTGGAAATCCAAATATGGTCACCCTACCTTTAAAATCTGTTTAGAATTTCAGTTTACGATCCTTAGATATAAGTGTCACATTGATGCAGAGCAACGATAAACTAAAGGTGGGCTTAGACTGTTATCTGGCTGTTTGTTAACATGTGAATCTATGCCTGGTTGCCTTTGCCTGCTCTGGGGCATTTTTTTTCTGATCCGTGCGGGGCTCCAGCGGCTGCCGGGGCTCCGCAGGCCGGGTGCCACGTCGCCCGCCCGGGGCCCCCCGTCCCGGGCGGGCGGCGGTCTCTCCGGGGGCTTTGGGCACATCTGCGCATGCAACTGCCAGAGGAAACTTTTTCCATGCACCGTCGGGTGATTCTAGCGGCTGGCATGCAGAGAGGCAGCGGACCCCCGGGCCGGTTATCGTGAGCGGGTCCCGGCCGGACTCACCGAACCGCGGTACTTCTCCAGGGACACCAGCTTCCCTCGGCTGTTCACCACTTTGAAGGTGTACAAGTCTTTCTGTTTGCACTCGGAGAGGCTGAATAAAGCCAGGAGCATGGTCACAGCTGCGCGGAGCATCTTTGCACACAAACTGCCAACTCAACAGCAGGAAAACTAACTCCGATCAGCAAGTTGGAGCCCAGAGGAAGGGGACTTCCGGTTGGAGCGACGTTACTAAAGTAAAAGCAAAGGAATGTTACAGTTTTTGAGATGAAGAAGTTACAGGTTACTGCTTTACAAATAGATAGATAGATAGATAGATAGATAGATAGATAGATAGATAGATA